GTTGAATGAGGTTGATGAATATTTGCGGTACTCTGTACTACTCAAGTAGTTTCCAAATTGCTCCGCGGTCAACTCTGTCGAAGACCTACTCGAAGTCCATAAAGTTGAGGTAGAGGTTTGATTGCCATTCCATGCTTTGTTCTGTGATGATGATGCGTAGAGTTGCAATTTGGTCAGTACATGAATTGCCTTTGATAGATATTCATTGCAATGAGATAATTAGGTTGGCAGTTAAATGATATGGCGTTAGCCAGTCATGCAGTAGGTCTGGATTCCATGCCCAGCTGACTCACTCCTAAAATCCTAGAATAGAGGAAAGTTAGGTATGAGCCTAACAGCCTCACGGCGTAAAAATCTACATCACCTCTACTGAAACTTCAAGACTTAAAGTCTTACGTTCCATTCCGAACACAAGGACTTAAGAGGATAAACCATCCATCAGCATCATCGCACCTTTAAACCTCGTGTTCTGAATCGCATATACTTATAGTGGAATATAATATCAACTGAATGCTCCGTGTGATTGATAGTTTTTCTAATAATGAAGAGAAAGGAATCTGAAGATTAAATTTCCACTTCCATACAGAAAGATGTGTACAAGAGTCTAAGCAGAAGCTACTACGCTTTTCGTAGCCAATGGAAATCCTGGCCAAATTTCTGCTGAATACAGAAAGATTCGTTTTTAATTTCTTCAGATTTGATACTCACGTCAGATCAACTTCAAACATTGTCACTTGACAATGAATTCTGCCATCATCCTCACAAAGGTTCACATGGAATTCGATAGAATTTCAGAGCCTGGCTATTCAAGCAGTGGACATAGTTTCTGTTTTTCTGACGAACAACTACAACACTTCAAGTCAACTGTACTACACTGTACTTGACAGTTGTCTGAGGTTAGGAAACAAAAGAGAAGCACTACTGACGATAATTTCTTTTCCTGGTGATTACCTAAATCCCTAATAGTAGTGCAACACAATCAGGTATTTTTTTACTAACAAATTAGTGGGAGTCTTCCATGCTTAATGGTCTTCTGTATACTACTGAATGATTGAGATGAGTAGCTATATAGCTGCCAGTCAGATCAAGGTGATCTGAGCACACAGAACACCCGTTTGACACCGATCTCATCATCAGTGTACCCGCTTTGACCCAGCTCACATAAGGGGATCGGTTTCAATCGATCCATCCAAATTTTAAGCCAGTTACTTGGTCAACCAGGAGTTCTTGCTAGCCAACCGGCTAGAGAGAGAGAGACAGACGTTGGGTGTTAAGATCACCTAGATAATCCGGCTAGCGTCGATGGCACAGTGGTTAGGACTCTCGTCAACCATGCAAATGGTCCAGGGTTCGATCGCCTGCCGATGCACACCTGATATCTCTATGGTCGGCCTGCAAAATTCGGGCTATCGATAACACATGCTGAAAATTCCATATTTGTATCAAAAAAATACGATGTGGAATCAAGCTGTAAATCAAAAATAAATCACTACTGGCTGATATGATCAGCATACAGATACTCAGTTCATTTGATCAGTAGTATGTAGTGTTAATCGAATATACTTGTTGTGTTGTTCACCATTTATAGGATGAAAACAGAACACCTATATTTTGTCATCAAAAATAATTTGGTTTGCAAATGAAAGTGTGGTGGAAATTTCACTCTTTGAACTGTCTAGATTGTATATTGCTAACCATTTTGCAAAGTGTGTATTTGAATAATGTCCCAGTGTTGTACACTTGATGAAGTACTATTACTAGAAAAATACAACTATGCACTGTTGACACAAGTGATTGAAATGATGTTTGAAATTTTTTTTTAAATTAATAATAATAATAATTATTATTATTATTGTAATCAATTCCCTGAAGAAATAAAGAGAAATAGGCTTATTCCAGCTTCAGTAACAAGTGGTGGTTAAATTTATTATTGTATCACTGAAAATTCAAGCGGCAAATACAACGACAGGAAGTGGGAGAGAAAAAGTCAACTCTGTAGAGCTTAGTTTTTCCTTAGATAGAATGCATACTTAATCCCCAAGAAATAAAAAAAAATGGTGAATAAAGAGGAGCGGGACGGGTAGGAGTAGGATAAATCTAAGTTTCACTCTTATATGAATGACACAAACAGAAGAGAGAGTGTGTGTGAGGGAGAGAGAGAGAGAGAGGGAGAGAGAGCGCGAGGGAGCTAACTAGAAGAAGGCGAATTTGGTTTGCCTTTTATTTTCATGTGCTGGCTAAATGTTTGCGTGACTAGATTTTATTAACTACTACTGTTGTTCCAGAAGAAACAGGAGGCGAACACACACACACACGCACGCACTAAGAGGGACAAATGGAATTTCTTTTTTTTTGCACTGATGAAGGAATCAAACGATTTTCTAATGTGTTTCCCTGCATCCTACTAGTTTTGTGTTTTCAAGAAATCATTGTGAACATTAGAACTGTCCCGCTGTTCTTGATCTTGGCTTTTTATTTTTGTTGTTGCTGCTGTCATGTTTGCGTGTGTAGTGTCGGGTGTAGAAACGCGCAAGCGCACACACACACACACACACACACACGTACCTGTTTCCAAACAACATTTCATCCAAGGAGAAAGACACTCTTCACTTTTTTTGTTCATTATTATAGTTTACAACTTTTCAGTTGTTGTTGTTGTTGCTTCTTTCTCTTTTGCATTATTCATTATGTGTACACAGATGATAAAAATTGTCCCTTATCGCTTGCTGATTGATCAATAGTCTTTCTTCTATTCGGCTGGTCAAGACAACAGTTCTAGTCTCAGTGATTGTCTTCGCATACTGCAGACAGACCTCTTGAGTACTAACTAGTTTGTCTCTTTGTTTTGAGTGGGGGTTTAGCGCAAATATTACCGATGATATTCCTGACTGTCGTATACTGGATTATACGCGAAGACAGATACACGTTGTACTCATAAGAAGGTTCTAGGAAAATCACATAAACTACAGGCGAAAACCTACAAGCTGTCAAAAGAGGCTGGCAGCAAAGACAAAATTTCAAGTGAACATAAAAAAAAGATTTTTTTAATTTTTGATTTACAGCTTGATACCACACTGTATTTTTGGTACATGTATGGAATTTTCAGCATGGATATCGGTAGCCCAAATTTTGCAGGCCAACCATAGATATCAGGTGTGCGCCGGCGTGGGCTCGAACCCCGGACCATGTGCATGGTCGGCGAGAGTCCTAACCACTGTGCCACCGACGCACACAAGATGGAGCTGATGAAGATAACCAACAAAAACAACAACAGCAAACACCAATGGAATCATTGTCACGGAAGATGTTCGAAGTGCACTTCCTTCATTTACCCTAGACAGCTTCATTTCAACTATGTGAATATGACACGAGTGTGAATGACAAAAGCACAACTGGAAAGGCAATGCGAACACCTTCGTCACTCTGAAATCTGTTTGGAAACCAGCCTTACTCAGTGTTAACAAAAAGATTCCGATTTTCAATACGATTGTTACTTAAGTCAGTTAGTTCTTCTGTATGAGTCAGGTAGAGAAAGCATTTCTAACAGGTTGAAGACTTTTATGAACAGCCACACCACTGACTCCATACTGAGGAACACATAACAGGCCAGAAGGAATCAGAAGCAAGAAGCTGAGTGAACGAGTCAGCCAAGAACCTACTGCTTAACAATTATTATTCCAATAGATGGGATACACCGTAAGGAGACAGTTGCGGGATATCGTGTGCCCAGGCCATCGCTCGCGTAGAACCCTAATGAGAAAGAACGCGTTGGGTGTGGGTCAGAGGGTGACATGGAGGAGGTTGTGTGAGTTGGAAGAGATGACAGACTATGGGCAATCATGGGTCCAGCTTATGAGAACTAGAGAAAGTAGGACACAGTGAATATGTGCTGATAAAACGCCATGTTCCACTTGGAACCCGGTGGGAGAAATAATAATAATAATAATTATGTATAAATAACCATAGCAGCTTCTAGCCTTGCATCAGCTTTATGTTTGTTTTCCAATCAAAGACATGCTATTAAGTTAATCGGTACAGAAGTACAGCAAGTCTACGTGTTTGGTATTCTTCACCCTGTCACTTCATTTCAACACTATGCTACATAAATATGTGTTTGTTTTCAAAATCGCTGATAGAAACCAAGTGAACTTAAAACAGTTGAATAACACGCTGATTTTGTGTACTATTACCGAGTAGTTCTTGTAAATGCACTTTGTACAAAGGTGTTTTTGTTGTCATGGTGATATTTATTATTATCATCGTCAAACTAAACCAAATGGTGTCCATTATGGATACTTAAAGGATGTAAAACCCAATTTCGCCCAGGGATTGATATCAGTTAGGAGTCTGTTGAGAACAAACAGGGAGTACTGAATATTTGTTTCTGTCCTCATTTCCAAGATGGTTGACCCCACTGGTCACGACTTCTCACTTTCTTTACGTTCCCAGTGGAGCTTTAAAGTCCCGGTAGCAGTGGTCGGGGTGGCTAGTCTCTTTATCACACCCAACCTTTCCTTTTTACCGGCCTTATTACCGGCACATCGAAGTCAAGGAGTTCGTCGCCAACCACAGATCACCTGCGTGGTTGGCGACTGTTCTAACACTGAACCAACGACGTACTGTCAGTGGAACTGCTGCCACATAACTTCGTCCTGCATTCACTAACTAGCGAGCATCAGATTAATTTTCAGGAATTATTTTGTGGGAATTTGATGTGTATCTCAAACTAGGCCGAAGCAGATGTGCAGTACTCCAGTGGTGATTTTAGATGGTTCTCTAACTGATATTGATCTGTGGTCATATTTATAAAACATACTAAATGCTTAAAAACTAACTCGTAAAGATTTAAAACTCAATGTCCATACTGAGATAGAACTTCATGATAATAGAATAATAATAATAATAATAATAATGTAGTATGATTGAGAGATTAATATTATTGTTGAAAAGGAAATCAATATAAACTCAGGGGTAGCAGAAATGTAATAGGTAATACTTACTATCCGGTGTTAGAATTTCAGTTGAACCCGAATCGAATACAGTAGAAATGTTGTATCTAGAGTGTGCAAAATGGAAAGAAAGTATGAGAGGGTGAGCAAGAATGCGAGAGAGAGAGAGACAGACAGACAGACAGAGACAGAGTATGCGATTACTGACAAAAGACAATCACAATAATGAATAACATGACATAATATCTTTATTAGATTCTAGATGCTTGTCTTTTCAAGTTTGGTTACGAAAGAAAACTGGTTAGCCAAACCACCGAGAACCAGGTATTGCTTTTCTGCAGCACCTAGGCGTTGACAATTGCCCCAACAAGGAATTGGACCCAGGCCATCTCGCTTACCGACCATACATCCGCATAAAACAACCATCCAGTACTTTAAGGTTTTCGGTGGTTCTTCAGCTGAAATCAGTTTGTAATCAAACTTGAAATCCTTCGTATCCCTGGCAACCGTCAGTATTCAGGTTGTCCACAAGACACATTTTATTGTATTTGTAGGCAATTTTCAGACAGGTATGAACAGGTCAGAAGCAATTTAGGCTACAGTAAGTAACTGTGAATGCAAACATTGTCTTGGTTTTCTACCTGTTATTATGATTATTATTCGTATACAAGAATTTTCGTGCTGAGCAGAATTCAGTCGACATTTTTATGACATACATATGTTGTACTGATTTGGTTTTGTGACACTGGTAATTCGCTAATCCATACATGAACGTTATTCTGTCAATGTCCGAATGACTTGTCTCAAGAGACAGCATTTTCATCTTGCAACACTAGCCGTTTTGTACTGGTTTATTTTGAATTATGATGTAAATGTTATGAGGCGTAAAATAGCACACTTTAGATATGCTAAAAAAGATTTGTTGCTCAGGCGTATGATTTTGGTGTGGTTGTGTTCTCTGACCTGAATAGCCAATTTGCGAAGCTTTCATCGCCCTACTAGGCGACATCTTCCTTCAGCGCATACTTCAATTTCAATTGAAGTGAGCTTTTAGATTTCTCCACGAGTTCACCATTATTCATCTCTCCTGGTCAGTGAGTGACCTTGGACGTGATTGGTTGTTTTTGTGTGTTTTCTCACCTTCTAGACTACTTGTGTTGGAATTGATTGTTTCTTTGGCCTGAACTTTGACTCTTTGTGTGTGAAGTTTCTTTCTTATCGGTTGATAAATTTTGTCTATTTCAATGTCTCTTTTGATTGGAATACCAGGCTTCTAAAATCTCTCTAGCACTCCTGGTGTTTCTTCTGTCTATTACATGAACAGTAGTTGTCCCAGTCGAATTGATGTCCGTGGTTGTCTGTGTGTAGTGATATGAGGGAGTGGATATCATGTCTTTTGACGGCTAGCTTGTGTTCGTGGATACGAAGACGAAGAGTAGGGGACGTCCACTTTGGCCAATGTAAATGTTTTTCGCAGTTGTTACAACTTATTTTGTAGATGATGTTGGTTTTGTCTTCTTTCGCTGTTGGGTCTGTCTTTTGGTTGACGTAGAACTGAATGAAGTGATTTTGTTGGTTTGTGTACGACGTCACTTCCTCATCAAGGTTTGAAGAGTCTTGTAGTGATTTCTGAGTTATCCTTTATATATGGTAGGGCGATTTTCTTTGTGCTTTCCTTGGTGGCTTTTGGTTTGATAGGTTGGCTTGAGGGTATATGTCTTTTGATGAAGTTTCGTGGATTTCCATTCTTTTTGGAGACGTCCAAGGTCACCGTGAGAGATGATTAATGGTGAACTCGTGGAGAAATCTAAAAGCTCACTTCAATTGAAATTGAAGTATGCGCTGAAGGAAGATGTCACCCAGTAGGGTGATGAAAGCTTCTCAAATTAACTATCCAGCTCAGAGAACACAACCACACCAAAAAATTGTACAGTTTATTTACTCCTAGAACTCATGTTTTTATCTTATTTTGAGTCAATAACTCTGAACAGGTTACAGACCAGGTTTCTGTGTACGAAAGGAAGGTTGTGTTCACTCTGAATCTGCCATGGTAACATGTTTTTATTATTAACTGTTATTATTAATATTACTATTATTATTAAGTTTTTATCCCACCTCATATTATATTATTACTATTTGTGATTCATTTAAAACTATTTTTTATCACTGCCATTATCTTAACTTGTTTCAGCATTATTATTATTATTGTTATTATTATTATTATTAGCATAACCATTATCAGTATTGTTTAGTTCACAATTCTTGATAAGATTCGAATTCTCTCACTCACTGATAGCTAACTAATGGTTTATTTAAGTGGTGTATTTGAAGCGTAATGCATTTTTATCTTAATTATATATATATATATATATATATATATATATATATATATATATATATATATATATATCCCCATATGTAGTCTTAGATTTATGTTTTCATATGTAGAGTATCCGCTTGAAGAGTTCTGACGAATTTTGACGAATTCATTAAAATCCAGCCTGTTTAACTTTTATTGCTTGTCTTGAACTTGAAATTGTTGACTTGAATCGCATTCCAATTATTGCATACAACCAGTTCGCCTGATTAGTTTGAATAAAGAAAGAGTGAACACATTTACAAGATAATAAGGGTTCGTGTTCTTTCGGGGATTGTTTTCAAACGCATACATCCTAAACAATTTTAAAATATAAGTTACAAAGTAGCATCTGAATACAACCTTCTCACAGTGACTTCGAGTGATAGACAGAATGTTATAAGCAACATAATTTTTAAAAAATGTTGTTAGGAGACGAATTATTCAGTGTTAAAAAGGGGGCTAACTATTTATTGTATAACTAGACAAAGGAGCGATAGACTCCAGATGTGGCATGGAAACAAGGATAGACTGAAGGCAGAACACAAGGTCGAACAAGAGAACGAATTAATAGATATTATGATGAGGGGGTGGGTGTTCTTTAGGGTGGGAGTGTATCCTTGTTTTCAAATGAAGTCTGAAATCTACCACCACCTTCTTGTCTGATTATACTGTAAATTATAGTTAGTCTTTCAACGCTGAATAACTTGTCTGCTTAGGTCATTTTCGGAATTATTTTGCCTTATCCTTTCAATCTCTAACGCGAAGTAAAAAGAGTGTTTTTTTAGAAAATTTGTAACTAACAAATCGGTTTCGTTTAGAATGTGTATGCAGGTGAAAACAGTCCACGAAAGAAAACGACCTCGTATTATCCCTGCATATATGTTCGTTCATTCCAATTAATCCTAACAAAAACCAACAACCACTAGATTTAAGCGTCACTTCAGTAAAACAACGAAGCCGAGCTAAAAAGGCATGGGTAATTTGTGGTGAATGAAGACTCTGTTGGAGGTCTACCTGTATTCAAGATTTTCGATACACAAAGAGGTCATTGACTAAATTGATCTCATATACTTTTATGAGATTCCTTTGAGAAGGACCCTCTTTCTTGACGATTTGTATCAGCAACAACAACGGAGAAAAATGTCCACTCTCGCTAAATTCGAAACCTCTTTTAACTTAGAGATTAAATGGAACCCGATTATATCTCTTGGTTCTTGAGTTTGATGCACCCGAAAAAGACCATGGACCTAATTCGGTATGTTTCCTTATCCTTCAGTTTTTTATTTGTTTTGTTATTTGTGTGTGTAATTTTCTCTCTTTGCCTTCATTCAATTCATCCAATTTCCGTTTTCAGTTATAAAATTAGTTATTTTAAGTTTGTTTCCATGCTCCTCCTGATCCCACTTGTAATCCGTTTAGAATAACCATTTTACAATTATATTCTAATCTTGTGTAAATTTTTGTCTCTATGCCTCTTGTAATCTGTCTATATTCACGCACACTTCCTAACTTACATTTCAAGTTGAAAATTGTGATCTCAATTAGTCTCATTTTGTTCACACCTGTAATTCGTTCTATCCCAGCGTCTTTAAGCTTCTTGTAATTCATATCAAGTTGAAAACAATTATCACCTTTGATTCGCCTTCAAAATTATTCCTCCAGTTATCAAATATTAATTTTGCATACGTTCTCACTGTTTTCTAATCGATCCTATGCAATCTTGTCTCTAAGCCCCTTGTAATCTATATTGGTACCTTCAAACTTTCATATCAAGTTGAAAATTATGATCACCTTCGTTACTATGTGGAATTAAACAAATAATAATAAATGTATCCATGTAAACTAATCTATATAAATGCGATTGTACAGCTGCTTTTGAGAATGAAATCGCCGAAAAGATTGGCCATCTTTGCTGAACTTCTTGTTCTTTTCAATCGAAAAAGAATCGTATTTTTGAAAGAAATCTTCATAAATAACACATATCCACCAGGAGATATTGACAAGACCGTCAAGCCAAGAATCCGAAGATGAAATATTTAATTTGTGCCAAAAAGGAAACTTAACATGAACACTAACTTCAGAGACGACCTATTTAGTACTGTCCTTAAGAGGGAAATTTCGGCTTCTTTAAGAAGAATTTCTTCGTAGTAACGCCTAAAATTAGTGTTTTCTAGTCACCTTTTGATCTGTAAAAGCCAAAAGGACGAGATTACGCATGTGACCACTGCTGTATATATATATAGTCTTTACTTGTCATCACACTTACAAATGTAGATATTTGTGCTGTGTGTCTGTGAATTTCACTATTTTGTATTCATTTCACACCAAACAGTTTCCCATTGACAATATGAAACCAATTGGTCGGTTGAATTTCAATGCGCTAACCTAGCAGTCTCCGATGGCCTTCGGTTCGTTTGACTTTTGTTGCTACTGCTAAGGAATTTTAAAAAGGAACTGGAAACTTGTTCAACTGCTTCTTGCATATTTGCAATAGTTTTCTAACTAGAGTTATTTTGCGGAGAAATGCACCTCAAAATGAGGGAGGTTCCGACAAATATAACAACCAAATACGTCATACTAACATATTCTTATATGTAAGGTAATGTCAACAGTTGGTATGAAAGAGGACAATAGGTACTTCAAGTGTGAAAGAGCCGCTTCCTCAAAATAAATTATATAATGTGACTACCTACAGACAGTTAACAGCCGAGGTAACTGTCACATCCTTAGTTCTGGTAAAATTACATT